CCCCAAAACCCCAAAACCCCAAAACCCCATATAAACCTTGAATAAATTAAAGCCATTAAGAAATTAAAGTAACATATTAATTGAACCAAATGAGTGCTTGACATATTTAAAGTGATTCTTTGATATATTAAGTTATCATACTCCTAAAGTAGATTAATTATGAATAGAAAGGTTTATGATTTCCATCAGTTTGATCTTATCTTCATTGTTCAGCTAGTCTATATATTAGACTACTTTTTCGAGTGTTACAGCTGATCTGAATACCATCTAAGTTATGTATATAAATACATTTACAGCCAAAACTCCTTGAACTCTAAAAATATCATTCACAGCTTCTTCGAGGCTCCCAGTTTCATCTAGCTACTCATTAACCTAATAAATCATTTTAGCTAAAGTTTAAATTTACCTATATTCTAAATGCCTTTTTTAAGCCAATTATGCAGAATTGAGCAAATGGAGATAATAACGAGGCAAAAATACTTAAAAAGATTGAGTGAATTTGAGCTGGTGAGGCATAAATTTTGAAATAGCCTACATATTCAGTAAGGAAATTTATTTCCATATTTTTCTTAATGTAAAGATCAGGAATTTCGCACTATATTCCTTCAAAAATAGCAAACGATAATTCTCTCTAAGGACAAATCATATACATAAAGCTACTCAAATAATCTGAAACCTATCAATTTTAAATTTAAACTGGATTAAAATACTTACAAAGAAAGCAAATATGCAAGTAAGTACTAGTCCACCTATGTAACCTTCTATTGTCTTTGAAGGTAAATTTCTATTCAAAGGAGTATAACCAATTGTAATACCAATTATACTAGCACAAAGAGTATTTATTGGAACACAGAGTAACGGGAATACTACCCAAAATATCCCTTTATATAGATTGTAAATCTGTATAAAGGAAAATACGAATACAAATGTCAGTACGATCAGAGTCCAACCTATCTTCCTCAACATCAGTTTAGATATTCCTTTCTTCAAAGAGAAAATGATTGCTATAAAACCAACCAATGTGAAAATGGATCCAATCATCCCTCTATATTGGTATAAAATAATATCTAGGAGTTTTCCGTAAGCTTTTTAATCTTCTATAGCTTTGGTCAATAATTCTCTTCGAAGGAAAAATGTCGGGGTTATACAATACGCACATACCAGATAAGCATACCTAAAATACAAATTAGCCACCAATTGAGTTTGAAATTAAAATTAAATTTGTAACTTACCAGTCAATCCATTATAAAGATGCGAGCTTTGATTGATCCTCTTTCCTTTTCTCGCTAATCACATTATTATAGATCATAGTTGACATAAGAATGATTGCTATCGCTCCATAGATGTGCCCCATACAAATAATAATCAAAGCACCAACAATGATAAGGCATTTCTCTAAGAAACTCTTAAATTTATGCCAATTTTATTATTTTTGTGCTTCTATCGTCTTAAGACTAAATATCTTTTTCTTGGGTTGATTGTTCTCTGATTCAGAATGTTCAAACTCAGTTGCATATTTTTTCCTCTGCTACCTCATTTATGTCATTAATTAAAACTTTGACTTGTTATTTGTTTAATTAATTCTATACTTATAACTCAGAATTACTACTCGATAATAATGACCCGGGGTTTTGGGGTTTTGGGGTTTTGGGG